TCACCGAATCGGTGGTGTTGTTCTTATTAATTGTTCTTAGACACCGTTCTCAAAAAGGAAAGATTCAAGGTGAATTGCGATACAAAAATAAAGCATACAAAATTTGGAAGAAGCATGCAATAAAACATCTGAAACCTCAATGGCAGCCCTACAGAATTCGACCGATACATTCACCAACCCGCCGACACCATGAAATGCCTGGGAAGAGAAGGGAGGCCTGGCCTGCCCCCGGAACGAAGGCCATCTTGCCAAGCGGGCATCACTGGAGGGGCACTGCAAGAGCCCCTTTCTCCTCCATCTTCCGCAGAGAAGGCCTTCCCCATCTCCCGCTACCCGATTCCTTTAAAGGAGCCCCAACCCCAGGTGTTTGGTGCGCAAAGCAGGGCTGCTGCCGCAGAGCCCCCCGCCCCCCCCCCCCCAGGAGCAAAGCCGGCTGTCTCTGGGGCAAGGGTGCCCCACACTGAGTCCACCGCGTGTGTCTTGGGGGGGGTTTGCATCTGGCCCCTTCTCTGCCTGGTCCTTCGCCCGCTTTCCTGGGGTTTAAATGTCGCTGCCCGTGCATGTGCTCCTCCCCGCAAGCGCGGCGTGGTGCTGCACACGGCAGGACTGTGCAGATGCACCAGGGTGTCCTGCCGCCCCGCTCCGTTAAGACCAGACTGGGGGAAAAACAACAGCAAGCTAATGTACGGTTGTAGAAATGACTGCAAAGCACAGGAGAGGCCCTGGGGATGCCAGTGTCTTGGGCAGCCCCACAGAGGAAGGAGCGAGGAATCGCAAGCCCAGTAAACGCCCCTTGCAGGACGCCTCCAAGCCGGTCCGCAGAAGGGCCGCGGTGGGGAGGCCTCGGCTGGGCTGCACTGCGTCCCGCACACGTGGTCCTCCTGGGCGACCTCCCGGCCCCTCGAAGCCGCGTGCAGGTTGTCTGTGCGTCTCCCGCTCATGCAGAAAGGCAGGTCCGGTTTCACCCAACCTGTGCAGGAAGGTTCACAGGGTGGAAAAACCTGTGCGGGGCCCTGAGGTGGGTCCAGTTGCAGGGCCATGCAATACGGCCGCTGACAAAGGCCCGCGCGGTCCTGAAAGCCGGTGCAGCCGCCTAATGTTCTGCCCCGGGGGGGGGGGGTGCCTGCCAGAGCATTGCTGAGCGCATCAAGTTGCGGGGCGCTGACCTTTCCATCTGGCCGCTGGTTGGGCGGAGGCGCCTCCGCTTTGTTCGACAGCCTCTCGGCTGGGGAGGCCGGTGATAAACGACACCGCGGTGCTCAATGAAATATTTACAGACCCGGCTTGCTCGCTGGCGGAGATGATAGCCTTGATTAATAATAGGAGAGCTTGGAAGTTAATCCTCAGGCCACTTTGCCGTGAATGCCGGTCCGGCACGTGACGGCCCGCCTGCACCTCCCCAAGGAGCCCACATGCATTTCTGTGGCTGGCAGGAGGAGGAGGCGTCCGTTTGCGGAACAAGACGAGCACCGAACTTCTCGGCCGTCCAGCTTTGGGCAGCAAAGCCCAGCCCGGGGGGGGGGGGGGGGATTACTGGGGGGGGCTGCAGGGGGCTTGTGGATGGTCAGTGTGGCTCTTCTCCACGGCAAGTGGGTCGGCACCGCTTCGGCACTGCGGGGCTGACGCCGCCTCCAGGGCTGCCCCAGGGCTTCGGGCTTCCTGAGAGATCGTGCTCCAGCCAGAGGGGAGCAGCTCCTTTTTTTCGGCCCTGCGTGTCCATGGAGCGTGCGCAGCCGAGGGTCCTCTGGGGCGGGCCTGGCGCAGCACGGACACTGAGCCGCGTCCCGGTGAGAACGCCAGGCAGGACCGGATGCACACACGCGGCATTCCACACACACACGGAGGAAGCGTAGAAGCAGAGCGAGGCGGAAGGGGCCTCCTGGGCCATCTAGTCTGACCCCCGGCTCCAGCCGGCTCCGCTCACGACATGCCTACCAGACTGGGAAGGCAAGGAATGGGCTGGAGAAATGCATGGGGGGAAGGCTGCCCAGGGCTACGGGGCCAGCTGCTGGGGAATGGATGGGGGGGGCCGTTGCCCCCTGCCCGGCCTGTGGATCTGCCCGGGCCGCTGCCTGGCCAGTGTGGATGAGGAGGCTGCTCAGTGGGCCTGGTGTGGAGCAGCCACACACCATGAACCGGGCCCGGCACAGTTGCCCCCCCCCCCGCCAGGCCCGTGCAGGGAGGGGGCCGCTTGTGCACCGGCCACGGAGCACACAGCGGCCCCGCTGATCAAATCCCGCCTCTGCTCAGGCGGTCGTCCAGTCGCGCGCCGCTCGCAGTGCGCAGGGCAAGCCGCTCGCAGGCCCCGCAGTTTCCGCGAGCGCGAGAGAATCACGTGCCAGCGAGGACGAGGCAGCGCAAGCGCGCGGAGAGCCACTGCCGCCAGGGAGTGAGGGGGTGGCGCTTGCCCTGCACAGCCCGGCCACCGAGCACACCGGCTCCAGGGCGTTCGGGGGACGCCCAGGGGGTCCATGGCCTTGCTGCCCCCCCCCAAGCGGCCAATCTGCTGCTCACTCCTCGGCCGAGGGAATGGCAGCTGGCCGAAAAGACGCTTTGGCCTGTCCGTCCCTGCCTGGCGCTTTCCGGAAGGGCTGGACTGCAACTCCCGGTGTCCTCGGCACTCGTCGCCAGCCCAGTCCTGAGCATGTGTTCTCGGGCATGTGTCCCACCGGAATCAGCGCTGCAGGGAGGGGTGGGCTGAGCATCAGAGCGAGCGAGCGAGCGCCTTGCACGGGGACTCGGGTTGCTTAACGCCCCTGCAGAGCTGCGCCGGAGTCCAGGGATCGAGGTGCCCCCAGCCACCTGCTCCCTCGGAGCAGCCCCGGCGGATGCCTGAGGACAGTTTGGAAGCTGGGCAACTTTCAGGCGGCCCTCGCCTTGCTGGCATTTTTTTGGGGGGATGGGGGCCTGTGGCGACAGTGGCCCCCTCCCTGTTAAACCGGCAGCGCAGTGGCGTCTTGTGCGCTGTTGGACGGACCGTGGGGAGGGCAGGGGGGCGGTGCAGCCCGGGGGCCCCCGGAGGGGCCTGGCACGCCTGCTGGACCTGGGGCCCTCCGTTTCCCCTCGCGGGGCAACCCGGACTCTGCCCGGAAGGCCACAAGATGCCTGGGGCCGACCGCGCAGAGGGCCTGCAAGCGGGTCCCGGGGGTCGCTGCGTCCTGGCTGGGCAATGGCACCGCAGCCCCTTGCTCGGCCCCGGAGAAAATCTCCCAGGGCAAAGCTCTGCTCGCCGGTCCCGGGAGGGAAGGCATCCGGGGTGCTTCAGCAGAGTCTCGGGGGGTCGCAGTCCCTCCGGGACAAGCGCTGAGCTCGGCCGCCAAGGGATGTGTGCAGGGAGGGGGTCACAGGAGGGGCTCGTTTGCATGGGGCCCGTTCGGCACATGCCACGCAAAGCCGGTTCCCGTTTCGTGCTTCTGCTGGGGGCCATTTTAAGCAGTGGAGGCAACTTGAGGGGCACGCGAACCGGACCTGTGAGCTCGGGCATCTCGCGCCTGCGCTGAGTCTGTTTTTAGGTGTCCGGGGGCCCCTTTGCTAGCAAGCGTCTGTGTTAAATGAGAAATGGAGCCAACTGCATGATTTTGAGCCCGTCGCTGTCTGTCAGCCTAGCCTACCTCACAGGGCTGTTGTGGGGGGGAGACTGAGAAGAGGCGGAGGATGACGGAAGCTGCTTTGAGTTCTTTGAATGAAAAAGGCGGGGTATAAATCAAACAAATTAATCTAATTAATAAATGGCATGCCCCCTTTCATTTCCTGGAGGTTTGGTTTTGCTTCCTTCGGCCATAACGAGCCCTCAAAGTAGGCAGCGAAAATGAAGACGTCATTTGGCTCCACGGCGCGTTCGAAAGGCCCCAGTGACACGCTGGAAAGAATTGGTGCCGAGAGCCACATGTGTGCTTACAGGAGTCAGATGCCTCTATAATTACAGGACAGAAGGCGAAATTGAGGAGTGGGAAAATAAATTATATGCACATGCAATTACAGGGTAAGGCACACAAACGAAGGAGGAAGTCCAGGATCTCATCAGTTACTATGAGAACAAGCGTGGCTTTGTTCAGTTATTGGAACAACCAAAGCCCAGAAGGAAACTCTTGTTCAGAATATGTTTAATTCCTAAATTCTCACTCCTGTGTTTCATAGTCAGTGTGCTTGTAAAGGCACCATCCTACGTGAATTTGGACTGGGGGGGGGCTACAACTCCCAGCATGCTCCAGTCACATGCTGGGGCATGCTGGGAGTTGTAGGCCTCCCCCCAAACTTTGATCGCATCTTAATTATCTATGAGCATAAAGATTAAGCATGCAGCCCTCTTCTCACTTACCTGGACATCAGGTCCACCAAAGTCATTGGAATTTACTTATGAAAAGAAAAGTATAGTATCTGTGTGTGGATATTTTCAATTGTCAGAAAGCCTTTCTGAATTTTAACATAAAAAGACATAAAACATCGAATACAAACATTGGAAGCAGACTTCAGTCTCGAAAAATGAAAGCCTTCTGCTTTTTCAGCACTGTCTTTGCACCTAAACTGAGATGTTTGTAATATTTGAAGTGAAATAATTAACTTTAACGACAACAAATGCTATAATCAGCTGGTTGCTCTACTGGTGAGAAATTGGCTTTTCATTTTTAAAGGACTTTTGAGAAGTGCATCATCCATCGTTTGAAGAGTGAGGAATGGTGTATCTTTCATAAAAGGGATAATGCGATATTTAGCTTGTCGTCCTTTGCACAACGACGGTGTTCAGGCAACACGATAGCTGCGCACACGGGCTGAGTGTGGGTTGTCATTCTGCTGTGGGCGGTTGTCGAAGCCTCGGCTGTTGTGCTGCCTGAACGCGGCTGCATTCACAAACCATGGCTGGCTATCCCAAGCGGGCCAGCCTCCGGAGCCCAGCGCCAGGCCGGGGCTCTTCACACGGGCTGCGCGTGGCAGCGATTCAGCTCGCGCGCCCGCTGCTCGCCCCGCTGGGGGTCGCTGACTCGCTCGCGCGTTCCCTCCAGTGCAGGATGGACTGCAAGGACGTCGCAGCGGAAACCCTGTACGACGTGCTGCACGACATCGAGTACAGGAGGAAGTGGGACACGAACGTCATCGAGACCTTCGACATCGGCAAGCTGACGGTCAACGCCGACGTGGGATACTATTCCTGTGAGGTGCTGGGACGGGGCTGGCAGAGCGGCCCCGCTGCCCCTGACGTCTGGGGCCAGAGCTCGGCCAGCGGCCGCCTTGGCTGGGGCCGATGGGGGCGGCAGTCCATGACGCTTGGACAGGGCCAGCCGGGGAAGGGCTGCGCTGTGTCTCTGCCACGCAGGGGGCCGCTGCCTCCGCGCCCCCCGCAGCCGCTCGCAGCCTGCGAGCCCAGCAGGAAGAGCAGGTGCAGCCCGCAGGCAGGCGCGACGAGCCCGCCGGTCGAACGGCCCGGGCAGGGGAAAGCGTGGGCCGGAAGCCGCGGCTGCTGGGCCCGCCTCCCTCCAGGGAGGCCCTTTGGGCCCGGGCGCCGCGCATGGAAGGCCCGGGTCCGGCTGCCCTCCGCCTCTCCCGCCGCATCTGCAGGCGTCTCCCCAGCAGCCGGGTGGCCCAGGGCCCTCCTGCTCACCTGGGCCCTCTGGGCTGGGCCTGATGAGGCTCGGGGGGGGGGGGATCCGCGGCCACGCGCAGCACGGGGAGATGGCCGTCGGCACAGGTGCCGTGGCTTCCGCCTGTTTTGGCAGGGCTGCCTACCCCAGGGTCCTGCCTGCTGGACTCTGGCCCACCTCCTCCAGCAGGCTTCCCGCCCCGGGGCAGAGGGCGTGTGCCCCGTCCCCACTCCCCGCGCTGCCCGCTCCCCACCCGAGGAAGAGGTGTTCCCACGGGGTGCTCGGTGTCGTGCCAGCCACACCGTGCCTGGTGGCTGGGCAGCCGTGGCGAGTCCCAGGCCCCCAGCGGCCTTTCTCCCCCTCCGTGGAGGGGGTCTGTGTGCCCCCCCATGAATCACCCGTCCTTCCCGTGGGCTGCACCCTCTCCGTGGCGCGGCGGCAGCGCTTCCTCCCTGGGTTTCCCCCGGCCCTGTCCCTCCAGGGGGTTCTCCCTCCGCAGCCTCCCTGGCCACTCAACTCGCGGCCTGGCTGTTTGCCGGCCTGGGCCCGGGGCAGAGCGCAGGCCGCCGGCCGGCCGGGCAGCTGCAGGACGGGGTGGCCATGGAGGAAGGATGCGGCCACAGGCAATGTTCAGTGTAAGCTGTTCCGAGCCGTTTGCAGGGGACGGGATCGAAAAGCTGTGACTGGATGAATGGCAGACGATACAGTGCTTGTGTTGAAGGCCGTGCAGGCCCTCTGCACATGCTCACCGCTCTCCTTCTCCCGCCCCCGCAGGGAAGTGCCCGAAGCCCCTGAAGAACCGCGACGTCATCACGCTGCGCTCGTGGCTGCCCATGGGTGACGACTACATCATCATGAACTACTCCGTCAAGCACCCGGTGAGCCCCGGGCGGCGGGCACGCGCCCCGGGAATCCTGCAGCTGTGCTCTGGGAGAGTCGGGGGGGGGGAATCCGTGGGGGGGCGCTCAGCATATTTAAAAGCACGTTAAAGCCCCGCCCCTCCAACAGAAGATGCTCACGAGCAGGTTTAAAAGCAAAACCGCCTCTTTTCAATCTTACTTGTAAAAGGGTTGTTCGGTGAGCTTCAGGGACTGGGCGGTGCTGGGAGGGTCTACCCGAGACGTTCGACAGCATCCGCTCGCTTTCCTTGTCGGTTTTCTTGTCCTCTGTGTCCCCCTGCCAAAGGGAAGGAGGTTAAAATCTGTTTAAAACGCAGTTTGCCGTTCAGCGGCTGGGCCCCACAGTGCCATGTAAACAAAACCCGAGAGCCGTGCCAGTTATTCCTGCTGTTGAGGAAACTGCCCCGTTCGTGTGGCTGCTCCGGGCCGGAGGGGGTCTTCAGATGCCTTTTGCCCGGCGCCCCCTTCTGCACTCACCGAGTTCCACCCGGAGCGTCAACATTCGCACCCCCCCCCCCCCCCCCCGTCCATCCCGTGGGAGAAGCTGGGCTGCGATCAGCCGTCAACCCCGCACGTCCCATTTCAGAAATACCCTCCCCGGAAGGACATGGTGAGAGCGGTCTCCATCCAAACTGGCTACCTCGTCCAGGGCAAAGGAGCCAAGAACTGCACCCTCACTTACCTGGCTCAAGTGGACCCCAAAGGTAAGTGCCTGCCCACAGAGGGGGGTCGGTCCAGCGCTTGCTTGCGGGAGACCCGTCCTCGGGATCCGCGTCCGTGGAGGCGCGTTCCCCGTCGCACCTGGTGTGGGGAGGAAGAGCGCTTTCCCTCCATCTCCTCGCGCTGAAGCATATACAAGTGATCGCGCCGTGAAGCCAAGGAGCGGGAGGCTCAGGGCTGGCCGGGGAAGGGCTCCTCCGCCCCACGCGGAGTTAGACCACGGGGCGCGCTCCCCACCTGGGGGGCTTTCGGGGGCCCGGCCTCTTTGCCAGAGACGGAGGCTCTCCGGGGCTGCGCGTCCCGATGGCTCTGGCCCACCTCGGGGCAGAGGCAGGGTGCCTGTGTGGGGAGCATGGGTGGCGGAGCGCTGTGCCCGCCTGCATGGGTCTCCCGGTTGGCCACTGTGCAAACGGGATGCTGCGCTGGATGGATCCAGCCCAGGGCTCCTCTTATCCCGGGGAACTGATCCGGACAGAGCCGGGGGGGGGGGGGCACGTGGAGACAGCAAGACCCCAGAGAGAGCTGAGGTGATGAGGCTCCTGCCGCCCGCCCGCCCGCCCCTCCAGGGCTGCGGGGGTCCTCCTCAGGCCGCGTGATCCAGGACGGGGCCTGCCCTGCTCTGCGATTCTGCACACGTCGCCCAGTGCGGAAGCGGCCCGTGTGGTCCGGCCTGGCGGGCGCCCCTTGCCGCCTGGGTGGGCGGGAGGGAGGGACCGGGTGCCGGCGCGTGGCGTCCCTGCCGCCGTACGTCCCGCCCTGCCGCTGGCACCACGTCGCCCCCCTGCGCCCCCCCGCTGCTGCGCCCATGCTGAAGGGGACCTCGCGGCCACAGGGGGCGCCGTGGCTCTCACGCCTGCTCTTCCGGCGGCGCACCGCGAGGGGAAGGGTGGAAAGGGGCGCTCGGCGGCTGTGGTGCCGCTCCCCAGAGCACCCACGGAGCGTGTGGGGTGGCGGAGGTGCGGGCCCTCTGGCTGGGGGGGCAGCGCTGTTGGCCACTTTGGCCCCTGCGCCTTGTCTTGCCCCGCGGGCGGGTGGCGTGGGCCCCGGCGGGGCAGGAGCCAGGCATCCCCCGGGGCGTGTGCCGCACCCTCACTCTGCCCTCTGCCCCGCAGGTTCGTTGCCAAAGTGGGTGGTGAACAAGTCCTCGCAGCTCCTGGCTCCAAAGGTAAGCCGAGGCCGCTCTCCGTGGCGGGGGGGCTTCCGGGGAAGCAGGGCTGGGGAAGCGCTTTCCCCCAAGGGCCACGTTCGGTTCTGGAGAGGAGCTCCGGGGCCTGTATTCAGGGTGGGCGGGGCCAAAGGCTATAGTGGGTGTGGCCAGAGGCAAAGAGGAGGGCCAAAATGGCAGCTGGCGTTGGCTTAAAGCTTAGACCACTTCCAGAAGGTATTCCATCCCGTGGCCATGGGAAGGAAACCCCTCTGTGGCCGGGGAAGGGGGTGGGGCCATCAGGGCAGCCCAGGAGGGGTGGCTTTGGTCCTGGGGGCTGCAGTTGCCCACCCTGGCATTTAGGAACAGAAACTGGCAAGATAGAAACAGAGCGAGCCGGAAGGGGCCTCCCGGGCCATCTAGTCTGACCCCCGGCTCCACCCGGCTCCGCTCATGACATGCCCACCACGCCCAGGCTGTCCTTGAACCCTAGTTTTGGGTGCCAACAAGGAGGAAAATGGTTATAGCGGCCCTTCCTTAATGGGCGCCCTCTGGTTGTGCTTGACTGCAACACCCATCATTCCCTGCCATGGTGGCTGGGGATGATGGGAGTTGCATCTTGTCACATCCCGGGGCACCCAGTCAGATTGGGGGAGGGTGTGCAAAAGCAGGCCCCCCCCCGGAAAGTCATGCCCCGGAAAGTCATGCCAAGCCTGCCAGGTGTTCTCGTTGAACTCGTTTCCAGCGGGGAAAGGGTTCGGCTCCGGTGGCTCCCCTTTCCGCGGGGCGGCTGGTGGACTCCCTTTGTGGCGGCGGCGGCGGCCTTTGACCCCGTGGCCTCACTGCCGCCCCGGGGGCCACCTCGGCCACGGCGCAGCCCCCCTTCCCATGAGTCCGTCGCGGGATTCATTAGCCCGGTTGCCGAGGGGTCGCGTGAAACCTTTGGCGCACGGTGCCGCTGGAGAGCCGCTCCCATCAGCCGATGTAACGATGCCTCTGTTTAATTAAGGAGCCCAGGACCAGCATGAACGAGGCGCGGGCCGGGGGGGGGGGCTTGCCTCATTGTTCAGCGGAGAGCAGCTTTCTCTTTCCCCGTGGAATGGAAGGCGCTCGGGGCTGCGGGGGCAGCTCCCCACCGAGGTGGCCCCCTCTGGGTCCGGCTGGGGTTTCCGTTGCAAGATGCGGACGCCAGCGGCGGGCTGGGTCCTCGGCGAGGGTTGCTTACGAGATCCAGAGGCCGTGGGGCAGCCTGGAGGGCGCTGGGCAGGTTCAGCCCTCCAGCTGCCCTGCAGGAGGGGGGAGAAGTGTGGGGCACGGCCGGGGGGGGGGGGAGTGCGGCCCGGCAGGACTGGCGCTGCCCCTTCCGGCGTCCCTCTGCCCTTCGGGGGCAAGCCTATGCCACAGGCTGCGAAAACCATTCATGGACATGACTGACCTCCATCCGTCGGATGTGGAATGTGCCCAGAATTTTTGTGCCCATGGGGAAAAGGCATCAGCTCCCCCGAATTTTAAAATCCGAACTCTGCCAGTCTGTGGGGGAAACTTTAAAGATTTGCAACACTTTCTTATAAAGCTTAACTTTATTTTTCTGCTTCGCACATAAGGATCAACAGTTGGCCTATTTAGGAACTTTGAGCAGTAACATAGAAAAACACAGAAACAGAGCGAGTCAGAAGGGGCCTCCCGAGTCATCTAGTCTGACCCCCGGCTCCAGCCGGCTCCACTCACGACATGCCCGCCATGTGCACGTCCAGCCTATCCTTGAACACCCGCACCGATGGGGCCTCAACGACCTCTCGTGGGAGCCCATTCCACACCCCAGGGGTCCTAACCATCAGTTCCAATCTGTTTAGTAGGATTGTATATTAAAAGTATGAATGTCCAAGCAAATCACACATGCACCTACTGGGGAGAAGAGCAAAGTTTTGCAACCTGTTTTGCCTGATTGTGCGTACTTTGATTTCTTCCATCTGAATACTATTGCGAAAATATGTGAAAGTTTAAATAGAAACCACAAAAGGTGCAGTGTAGTTTCCTACAATACTGAGGACTAGCAGCATGTTTGGATAGCATGTTAATCTCTTCCACATCCTTTCTCAACTGGGGATTCTGTAGATGTATGTGACATGATCCAAGTTGTAGCCTAAGCCACCTGGAGCGCACTGGGTCAAGAGCGCTTTATTTATGCTCAGGGACTACCTTTTGCTTGTGCTGTGGATATAACAAACTTCACAGTTACTTTTTGAGTGAGTAAATCTATGTTCTAAAAACTGTTCCATTCATTCTCAAAGAGACCACATGCCATAGGAGCCTTCCTATTTCCCTGAACGCCTTTGCCTCCCCATTGGAAGGGGAAGCTCCTTGGGAAAAACCTGCTCCCGCGCCCCCATTTTCCTGCCCTCGCCAGATCCCGAAAAGCGGGCACAAGACGAATCAGCCGGGAAAGCCCCCGAGATGTTCTGCACAAGGACTAAGCCGACCGTTTCTCGTGCCGTACGCCGGGGATCGGCCGGATGGGCAGGGCAGGGCAGGGCGGCTTCCCCCGGACGCGCCCCCGCCCCCCGAAGCCGTGTTGCGCCAGCCCTCGGAGGGCTTCACGGGCTCCGGGGAGGCAGAAGGGCCGAGTGAGGGTTTGCTTCCAAGGACGAAGCGAACATCCAGTGGGGTGAGGAGGAGGGAGGCCCCCGGGAAGCTCTTCGGCGTGAACCGCGAGCTTCTGCCCCCCCGCCCCCCCGGGGGTTTCTGGATTCTTTCAGCAGCAGCTCTGCTCCTGCCCTTGCCTGGCACCTTCTGTGGGCCTTGCTGAGAGCAGGGAAAAGAGTGTTACTTGGGAGGGCGAAAGCGAGCGCGACTTCCCCTTCTGTATGTCTCTCATGCCCGTCTCACCCGGCCGTGCAGGCATTCTGAGGCGGCACATCGGGAGAGGAACGTCCCCGGGACGCGCTTGGCTCTGGCCGCACGTGCGCTGGAGCGAGGGGCTCGCGCCTGGCGGACAAGCCGGCCAGTTTGGGGTTTATTCCTTTATTTGGGTTTTCCTTCACTGCTTAGATGGGGGTTTTCCTTCGTCCCTTCCGCATGCCGATGCCTTTACTCTCACGTTCTGTGGGACCCAAGTCTAGAGAATGAGCCGCTCTTCCCGAACGCGGGAACGGGAGCCGATCCCCCCGGCCCCCCTGACCAGCCTCTCCTTTCTCTGCCCGCCTCCCCCGCCGCTTGCAGGCGATGAGGAAGATGTACAAGGCGTGCGTCAAGTACCCCGACTGGAAGCTGAAGCACAGCCCGCACCACAAGCCGTGGCTGTTCCCCGAGCAGAACACGCTGGCGCCCGTGGCCCTCGCGGACCTGGCCATCCAGCACGCCGACTCCCTGGAGAACATCGACGAGAGCGCCCTCTCCGAGACCAAGGACGACCGGGGCGACGGCAGCGACGAGGACAGCCTCAACTGAGGGGCCGCCCCCCGGCCGGCCGGCCCACCGCCCCCACTACATGCACCCGCCTGGGCTTTTTGTCTGTGTAACCAATGCAGTTTGTGTCTCTAAATAAGATACCCGCCCCCCCCTCCCTCTCTCCCCCCCCCCACACACACACGTCGGACGGCCGGGGCCGCGCACTGCAGGGGGCGAGCAGAGGGGCTGCGTCGTGCGCGCTCCTTCAACCGCCGGCCGGGATCCACGGCGGGGTGTGTCCGGAGGCCGCGTGTGCGCCCACGCGCATGGGTACGCTTGCTCGCCGTCTTCCCGAATGCTCTTTTGCGGCTGGCACTTTTCTGGGGGGTGGAGGTAGCGTGGGCGGGGGGGGGGGCCCTGCTGGTGGTGCCAGCCCTCTGGCGCCGCGGATGCTTCGGGCCCCCGAAGCAGGACCGTCCTGCCCCTTCTGGGCCACCGGTTGCGGGCTCATCAGATGCAGTGCGAAGGGCCAGGGGGCCGCAGGGGCGGTTTGCCCCCCCAGGACGCTCCCCATCTGACTCTGTGGAGCATGGCCCGGTGTGCTCGGGAGGGGGGGACACGAGCAGGACTGGGCCAGCCGCCAAAGCTCCTTGGCGGGGAAAGCTCAGGCGGGGCGGACGGCCTCCGCCTTGGGGCAGGGCCCTCCCCTGCTCGGCCCACCGGCAGCCCACGCTCGCTTCCGGGCACCATCGCCCTGGAGCCTGCCGGGCCGCGGCACCGCAAGCCGTGTGGGGCTCGGGGTGGGGGACCCCCGGGCGCAATCGCCCCCACGGAGCCCTGCCCACGCCATGCTGATTCCTTGCGCAGTGAGGCTGTCCCTCCTTTCTGCAACGCGCAGCTCTCCCCTGCTGTCCAAACTGGTACAGCCCCGCGCCGTCGGAGGGGTCTGCTCGCCGGGACTCGCCCGCTGCCTTCCGGGCAGGTCCGTGGCGGGAAGCCCAGCCAGAGGGGCACTCCCAGGCCAGACTTCCCACCTTCCTCCCCACGATGATGGAGCCCCCACTGGATCGTTGGTTTCCCGCGCGCTTCAGCTGGCAAATGCTTTCTTTGCTCTAAGTAGTGCCACAGGAGAGAATGGCGTTCGCAGGTGAGCCACATGCCCTCTGCACATGCTCAAAGGCCTACTGGTAGGGAAAACAAAACCCATCCCTTACCAACACAGTGCAGAGGGCATGAATGCTCTGCAGCAGCCCCTCCAATGGATGCGGAGGAGGCGGGGGGTGCTGTTGGGTGTCCCCCCCGCAGCTCCCCAGTGGCTGGGCACAGCTGCAAACTGGAATCGGGCGATTCCTTGACATGCGCGCAGAGGCACACAGACACGAGCTCGCTTGACTGTCCGGGCCGCCTTTGTGAGGCAGGAGGGGCAGGCGAGATGGTCTCCCGCCTTCTGGGGCCGAACGCACAAGCCCGCCGTCCGTCTCTGCCGTGCCTCCAGCAGCAGGACATGGGGCAGCCCCGGGGCGGCCCCAGTCCGGGAGAGGGGGCGCCTCTTGCCTTACCAGCCCCGTGGAGCCCTGGGCCGGGGCAGGTCGCCCATTGTGTGGCTCCCGCTCAGCCGCAAATGCACAGCTTCCCACTCCGGAAACTGCCTTCCCGGGAATGTGACTGGGGCTGGAGCGTCTGCAGGGCTGAGGAGGGAGCGGCGTTCCCCACTGAGACACGGGTCCCCTCCAGGGGGCTGTTCGCACGTGCCTGCGGGGTCCGGCGGCTGCCACGTCTCCTCCGCCATCGGTACTAGAGCGCCTTTTGGGGTGGGAAAAGCCTTGCTTCTGGGGGGCCTCTAGTTCTGGGGGGTCTTTCAGTGGCAGGTGTGGGTCCAGGACTCTCCACGTTTCCTCCTGGCCCCCCCTTCCTCCGCTCCCCCAGCTTGCCCCAGCGTGTCCGTGAAGCCGGCTTTGTGCAGAACACGTGGCTCTCGGGGCCACTCTTTGGCTGCCCGCACAGCTGGGCTCTGATGACTGTTTCATTCGGGGGGGGTTGCTTGAAATGCCCCCTTCCCGTTTCAAGGGGGGCAAAAAAGGGGATTTCATACCTTGTTATGGGAGCTGTAGATTTCAAAATAAAAAGGAATTCAAGCACGGCGCGCGTCTGGGCATCTTGCTTGCAGCTGAAGTGACGACTGGCGCTGCCACGCCTGGCTGGGGAGAGTGGGCTTTGAGGTGCCGCACAGCTGGAGGGCTCCAGGTTGGCAAAGGCGGCTCCAGACGGGGGTCTCGTGCGTTGCGCTCCTGAGCTTTCCTTCCCACCCTTAATACAAAGCAGCAGCAACCTGGCGGGCCCTTCAACTGCACGTAGATCATTTTTCGGCTGCGGAAGGCTTCCGAGTTTCCTCTGGGGAGAGGATCCCCGTCCCTGGGTGAGTCGCTCTTCCATGGCCGTGCCTTCTGATTTGGACAGAGGCACGCGCCGAGCAGTGGCTCCCGCCGACGGTCAACCTGCTGCGAACAGCAGACGCTCCCACCGCCGCGTTGCAGGAAGAGGGTCTGGTATCCCAGCACACGTTCGCAGGCTTGCTAGCCCCCACTGCAGTCATCTGGGGAAGGAGACTGGTTCAGAGCAGTGAGTCATGCAGGGGTGCAACAGGCATCTCCGGACGCGCTGCCCTGCTGCGACCTCTTGTGTCTGCTGCTGGGCCCGCCCTGGAGCCTCTGGGGTGCACTGGGGGGTCCCAAAGAAGACATGAACAGGCCTGCTGTTTGTGTTCACGCCTTCCTGGGGGGAGGACTCTACCACGCCAAGCACTTTCTAGAATCAGTCCAGGATGCACATTAAACACCCTTATTACACACACACACACACACACACACACACGTCACAAAGGTGTGCAGATTTGGAAGACCTTCGGATTTCTAGCTCGGCCATGATAGTACAGAAAGCAGGTCTGAGCTGCGCATTTTTCTTGAGGGTTTGGGCTACCTTTGCTTTTCGTGTCTTTCCTAGGACTGCCCTGTACATCCAGTATCCTTTCTCGAAGCCCATGTGTGTGGCCCTCTATGGGTGCAGATCCGAGAAAATAAATAATCTCTTCGAGGCACCTGGTAAAACCGAGGCTGCAAAAGGAGAGGGCTGGGCGGCTGTTCTGCCGAGCTCGGGGAACGCAGCCTCGGCAAGCGGGCCGGCTGCCTGGGCCCCTCGGCGCTGGAAGGCTCCCGCGAGGCCGGCCCCTCCCTTGGAGCTGTGTGAGAGCACGGGGGCCTCAGAGCAGCCCGCCAAGGCGAGCACCGCGGCAGGCCAGCTGCCCAGGGGCCTCCGGCGGGACCGGCCCGCACCCTCCTCCGGCCCAGGCCCCCCTCTGCGCAGGGCCACCGCTGCAGGGCCGGCCGGGGCACCACTGAGGAGGCCGCAAGTCCGTCCCTGTCTCTGGGCCTCGGATCCCCCTGCTTATCCTGGCAAATGCTTGCAAAGCATGCCGGCCCGGCCTGGCCCGGGACTGGTTGCAGAGCGATGTGCCACGCGGGAGGGGGCACAGGAGGCGGCGCTGCACCTCGTCCTCCGGGAGAGGTCTGACCGCTCAGTGCGCCTCCGCCCACACGGGACGGCACCCACAGCAGGTTGCCGGGGGGGCGGGGTGCTCCCCAGTCTGGGCCGGGCCCCGACGTCCCCGCATGGCAGGACCAGAAGGAAAGCCCCAGATAGCCGCCACGTGCCCCCCCACACCTGGCCGGCACCTGCCAGCGCCCAGAAGGGGCTGGGGACACGAAGCTGAGCCAAGCCGGCGGCAGCCAGGGCGGCCTCCTCCTGCAGCATGGCTTAATTTGGGGCTGGACGCCTTCCATCAGGATGCGCAGGGAGGACCTTGCGAGACCTTTGCAGGGATCTCAGGGAGAGGTCCCAGCCCGAGGTTAAAAGATCGGCGTCTCCCCATGGGCTCCTCCTCGAAGTGCAGCAGCGAAAATGCCACCAGGCGCGCACGAGAGGGCGAGCGAGACTCTGCAGATTCAGGCGCTGCACACACAGAATGCGGAGCAAGCGAGACGCCGCTCAGCGGATCCGGTGCTGCTGGCTGGGGAGCGGGAAACGGGGGGCCGCGGAACGGCGTTTGCCGAGAGGGGCTGGCTGGCATCTGAGTGCGAGCCCCTGCTTGTGCGGCCTCGGGTTTTCCGGGAGGAGCCCGTCGTGCTGCTATCGCACGTCTGCAAACTTTCTGTCGCCCGGCGGAAACAGCCGGGCAGCCCCTGGGCGCGTCGCCGGGGGTGGAGCGTGCAGACCTGGGGCCACGCAGTGCCCCAAAGGGACCCCCGGCTGCAGGAAGGCCCCTTCCGGAAATTCTGCTGTTTCGGCCCTCCGCGTGGCATTGTGCTTGCTTGCTTCGGGGCCCACGTTTCCCTCCTGCGGGGGACGCAGTGTGGCTTACCCAGCCCTCCTGTTTTACCCTCACAACAACCCTGCAAAGTAGATCAGGCTGTGAGTCAGAGGTGGGCCTGGAGGCGCCCGGTGAGCTTCATGGTGGGGCAGGCCCTTGCCCCGGGGCCTTCCCCATCTCAGTCCAGGGTGCCCCCCACAACCGCAGGGAGGGACCCTCCCGAATGGTGCTCAGCTCCCAGTCCAGCTCCGGGGCCCAGAAGGAGTCCTTTCTCCCAGGGAGCCTCATCTTGGCCTCTGGGGGCATCGGGGGCCTTCCCTCCTGAGCACCTGCACGGGGCTTCAAGGCCCCCCGAGCCGGGAGTCCGGCAGTCTGCACCCCTCCTGCTGCCCGCCCTCCATCTTCCAAGGACACCCCCCCCCCCGTTTTCTCCCTCCTACACGAGCGCAGTGGCACATGACCCTCTCGGCAAAGCGGAGGAGACCGAGCACAGCCGTGCGCTTCTCGCCTTCCCACCTCCTCCGCCACCCGCTGCTGAGGGAGACGGTCGTGGTGAGTCAGGAGAAGCCGGGTTCGGAGCAGCTCCCGGCCGAGGGGGGGGGGTGGCCTTTGCCGCAGGTTGACTCACGGCGGTGCCGGCCACTGACTCATCCATCGCGCTGCCGCGTCCCCAGGACCAGCGCCACGTGCCTGTCCTAGAAGCGCCGTTTGCTCGTCAGTACAATTCACAGGCCACGCGGCCACTCGGGCGCCCTGGGCGGCTTGC